TCCCCCTCAAGTATTTAAAAAGACTTTGATCCTACTTTTACTTTTATACTTAGAGGCTTCGTTTGATGCTTTAAAAAAAGAAACATAAGTGTTGAAAGTATATGCCTTGGTTATTTCTAGAGGAAGCTGAATAAGTGCTATTGTTATTTAGTGAAATTGTTCAGTATTCAGAGGTGGGCTGCTGGTGGTTCAGACCAGTTCGCCCAAACCGTTTGTTCCAATTCTGCACTGTTCGGAGAACCAGCAAATTGGACCACCAGATGGACCTGCCCCCGCTTGATTTTCAGGCTGTTTTTCGGACCGTTTTTCAAGCCATTTTCAGGCCATTTTCCCAGCCAAAATCATCCCCAAAACAGCCTGAAAACGGCCCAAAAAAGCTGGCTGCGAGAGGAAGAGAAGCTGGGTGAGCCAGACCCAAACGTGTCCCGGGTCCCCTCATCCCAGAAGCAGCAACCTTGCACTCTTCCCCTCTCTGCTAGCCCTCTTCTTCGCATAGGATTGCCCAGCAATGGAGATGGAGAGGGAAGGGGGTGGCATTTCTATGTGCTCCCGTTTCTGTGTGGCACGCTTCCCTCAATGCTAGTGGCCACTGCTGCCCCCTTCTCCCTCTCCATCTCTGCTGCTGGGCAATCCCATGCAAAGAAGGGGGCTAGCAGAGAGGGAAGAGTGTGAGGTTGCTGCTTCTGGGATGAGAGGACCCGGAAAGTATCTCGGTCCAGCTTACCCAGCTTCTCTTTCTCTCACAGCCAGCTTTCTCAGTCTAGCTTGATGCAGTGTCTCTCTCTCTCTCTCACACACACACACACACATATACACAAACAGGTTGGATCTTTCTTTTCTCCCATCCCTCCCCGCCCCCCACTGGAGACCCCTGGATTCCCTCCCCAACCCTGCCTGTCCCGTACAGTTACCACCCACACAAGTGATGTAGAGTTGGCCACGTTCACTCAGTCACATGACCCACTCACCCAGCCAGTCATTAGGGCATACAAATTGAATAAATAAATAAATAAATAAATAAATAAATAAACAAACAAACACAGACTGGTTGCCAAACATGAGAAGCCTACCAGGTTCCCACAAGAGAAGGGGATTCAGCTTTGGATCCGCCATAGAAAAAGCTTCCCAGCTTTTAAATGACAGCCCATCTTAAAACTTGGGAGAAATTCTTAAGGGAGAAATTAAATTACATTGAGCCAGAGGTGTTCAGTAAGAGCTACAATAAAATCATATGCATCATGTCACCATCATACAGATGTGAATTACAATCCTCAATTTATGACTGGTCAAAGTTACGATGAGCTTCTCCAGAGCTACTTACGAATTTTTTTTTTTTATTTGATTTTTATGCTGCCCTTCTCCGGAGACTCAGGGCGGCTTACAATGCGTTAAGCAATAGCCTTATTTTAAAGTTATGATGGCTGCCTTCCCTCATCAGGGTCATTTAGTTGTATTTTATTTATTTATTTATTTATTATTTAAATTTCTATACCACTTAAGAATTTCTCCCAAGTTTTAAGATGGGCTGTCATTTAAAAGCTGGGAACTTTTTCTATGGCGGATCCAAAGCTGAATCCCCTTCTCTTGTGGGAATCTGGTAGGCTTCTCATGTTCATGCATTTAGTGGAATATACATATGACAGGGCTGTCAAACTCGCGACTCATGGGCCTGATGTATCATGCACTAGCCATGCCCACACCTGGTTTAGTGAAGGGGGGGAAGTCCCAATACATCACGTGATGCCACCATGATGATGTGAATTTGACACCCCTGATATATTACACTATTTTCCTGAAAGTTTTGGTTATTTCTGATTGCCATGTTTGAGTATTCACTGATGCCACCTATGTGTTACTGGATTCCTGTATTATTTGTGTTATCAAATTTTATCAAAAGATCAACTTGTTCAGGAAAGCAGGATATTGACAATTTTTAATTTTGAATGTTATTTATAGAACCAGACTCGGAAAATGCAGTGAAAGATAAAGATGCAGAAAATAACTTCACACTATTCTTGGTCAGGCTCTTGGTCCATTTTGGTATTCTTTTAATACCTTGGAAGTGTCGAATTCCAAGAATTCAGGGAATTGAAGTACCACCCAATCAGAGAGAAAGGGAAAACTGAACTATCCTAATGGCTATAGCTCAACTAAGCTATTTAATTTCATAACTATATGTTCAATATGAGTTTTATTTTTTAAAAAAATAACATTTTTTGCAAGTACCAATTGTTCTCCACACATTATGGAAATCTGATGAAAATTGAATTGCTAAAATAGAGTAATGCAACAATTTCCCTCTCTTCCTTCCAAACATTGTCAAGCATTTGATTCTTTGGCATTGCACATGACTTCTAATTTATAGGATACCAATATTACTTTTTTAAATAAAACAATTCCATTTAAGAAATCTCCAACATGCAAAGCAGCTTAAAGCCATCAATTAGGGTATGATGGCAATGGAAGTAATTCCCTAAAACTAAGGCTTATGTGGCAAATTACTAGTTGCCATCTGCTAATCCTTGCTGGGGGGAAAAAATCAGAGAATATATAAAATACAAGTATTAATTGCACTCATTAGCTTCTGAGCAAAAAGAGGAATGCTTATTTCCCAAAATGTATGAAATGTATGAAAGTAAGGAAGTAAGATGTTGTCCATTCTTGGGTTCTTTAAATCAAGAGAACATAAAGAAAGGTGTATGTAGCAGTGGTGAAATCCAAAATTTTTTACTACTGGTTCTGTGGGTGTGGCTTGGTGGGCATGGTGGGGCTTAGTGGGCGTGGCTTGTGGGCGTGGCAAGGAAAGGATACTGCAAAATCTCTATTCCCACTCCACTCCAGGAGGAAGGATACTGCAAAATCTCCATTCCCACCATTCCAGGGGGAAGGATATTGCAAAATTGCCATTCCCTCCCCACTCCTGGGGGAAGGATACTGCAAAATCTCCATTCCCTCCCCACTCCAGAGGGAAGGATATTTCAAAATCTCCATTCCCACCACACTCCAGGGGAAGGATACTGCAAAATCTCCATTCCCACCTCACTCCAGGGGGAAGGATATTGCAAAATTGCCATTCCCACCCCACTCCAGGGGGAAATATATTGCAAAGTCTCCATTCCCACCCCACTCCTGGGGGAAGGATACTGCAAAATCTCCATCCCACCCCACTCCAGGGGGAAGGATATTGCAAAATTCCCATTCCCACCCCACTCCAGGGGGAAAGATACTGAAAAATCCCCATTCCCTCCTCACTCCTGGGGAAGGATATTGCAAAAACTCCATTCCCACCTCACTCTGGGGCCAGCCAGAGGTGGTATTTACCGGTTCTCCAAACTACTCAAAAGTTCCGCTACCAGTTCGTCAGAACTTGCTGGATTTGACTCCTGGTACTAAGATGGCTCCCCTAACTACTCTTTAAGAACAGCAAAATCTACTTGTTTAATTCTCCAACACCTCTCTGAGATTGGGTTTTTTTGTTTTTTTTTTGGTTTGTATGTACAGGTGACTTACAACCATTCATTTAGTGACCATTCAAAGTTACAATGGCACTAAAAAGGGGGGCTGATGACTGATGGCACTAAAAAAAAAGGGACTGATGATTACTACCATTACAGCATCCCTGTGGTCACGTGATCAAAATTTGGATGCTAGGCAACTGGCATGTATTAATGACGGATGCAGTGTCTCCAGGTCATGTGATCACCTTTTGCAATCTTCTGATAAGCAAAGGCAATGGGGAAGCCATATTTACTTAAATATGTTACTAACAGGTGCAGTGATTTACTTAACATGGGCAGCAAGAAAGATTGTAAAATAGAACTAACTTGCTTAACAACGTGAGTTTGCTTAGCAATGGAAATTTTGGGCCCAATTATGGCCTTAAGTCAAGCACTACCTATATTCAGCAAATGATTCTGGACAATGAACAACTTTAGAAAAAAAATTTTTTTTAAATTCCCATCAAAACATAAAAATTAGAATACACAGCAATTAAGGAAAATATCAGAATTGATTGCTAACATGGGGCCCTGTGCACTCAGGGGCCCAAGAACAGAATAGGCCCTGATGAAAGTATAAAAATCAGGCCATGTTGTGTGTGTATGAGTATGGAACCCAAGTTCCTAGTTTTATCACATAATATGGAGTCCTTAGTGCTCTCTAACCTTGGTTGTTTTCTTGCAGATGATTCATTACCCAATTAGATAATATCATCATACTAATAGTAAGTATAGTTAGTAATGATGTTACCTAATACTTGGATGGGAGACCATTGAGAAATTCCTAGGTTGTAGACTTGGTGATTAAAATAGTCCCAAAAGAAAGTAACAGTAAAGCTTTTCCATATTGTTGTTAAGAAAACCAGGAATAAAGACTGAGAAGTCTTTGCTTTTATGGGTATAATTAGTTTTTCACTTGATAACCACTATGGAATAACTCTCTGATTTGGTCTTTTTAGCCTGAATCTTGTATAAATTAGGACCACAACTTTATTTGAGTAAAATATTGGTTTCATTCAGGATGTGGCAATGAAGGCACTGCAGGCTGAAAGAATTACATACTTCAGTTTGTAATTGGAAGGTAGGCAGATTACAACATGGGTATAGAATTTCTAAAATTGGGCACTCAAATGTTTATTCTGCTGCACTTAAAATTTAATTCTGGTTAATCTAGAACTGATTGGCAATTAACATTCCAGCTACATACGCCACTTTCTTTAGAGTAGCAGATTGCCAAGCCTAATTTCCCTTCTCAGATGTTTAAATAGCAATCAATGGAACAAAATAAATGCAGGTTGACAACCTCTCCACTAAAAATGATAAATGCTAATAATAAAGGTAAGTTGGTTCAATGACTTAAGCCAGGTATTAATTGGATATGAATACAGAATTGATATAAAAGATAAACTTTACTTCCTTAGCCAATTCCAAGGATTTGTGGGGGGGGGAGAAAACTCAAGATTTCATAAGTATGTTTTGTTCTGTTCTTTTGTCTCCTTATAGAAAAGGGAAGCATTTTGTCAACTTTCATTGCACCCCTGAAGTATTTGAATCCTTCAGCAGCCAACATGGAAAATGAGGAGAATTTAAGTAAGCACTTTAATCTTTTTCATGTGGATCAGACAGGAAGTCTTCTATTTTTCATTTATTAAATTTACACACCACCGATTTTGCTCTAAAAAGAAATTCTGATACAATTCATGTATCTTACATCTTCCTGAAATGAGAAGTAGTAGACTCCATCTTTGAAATTTTAAAAGAGGTGCAAGTAAATCTGTTTTTCTGATGAATCTTTTAATGTTAAGCCAGCCTGTTTAGGGTCATCTACAGTGGCTTGTTAAACATTATCTTTGCCTGTTTGGAACTGAGAAAAAAAATGTATGTAAATGTATGTATGTAGAATGTGAATGTGTGCATGAAAGGCCTGTGGAGATATGCAGATATGTAGCATCTTTTTTTAGAGATATTAGTATTCATAACTGAAAAACATTTCATTTCCTTATATTAAACTACCATCTTTAAGAGTCCTGCAGGTAAGAATAAGAATAAGAATAATTTTATTTCTATACCGCCCTTCTCCTGAAGGACTCAGGGCGGTGTACAGCCTATTAAAAACACAAGACAACATCAGTTAAAATAATTTAAAATTATTAAATGGTAGAAACATAGATTTGCATTTGTTTAACATACTGCCATAAAAACTCATACCTCATCAAAATCAGGCAGAGCAAAAGTTTTTGATGGTCCTGTTGATATAGCAGCTGGGATGAAGCCTATATCCTGATAAAGAACTTAGATATCTCAAGATTGGTTTTGAAGTGAAATTTATAATTTCCATGTATGACAGTAAAAGGGTGGAAGTGAAACCTTTTCTCACTCTGTTCCTTGTATCGGGGATCCCCAAATCCTGGTCCATGGACTGGTACACAAGCGGCAGGCGAGTGTGCAAATCTCCATTTGTGTAAGCAGCAGGTGCACACATGATATCCATGATATCTGTATGACAGTCTATAAGGCCTCCCTTATGGTTGTCTTTATACATCTTTATAACAATTAAGTCCAAGACCTACCAAGTCCAGGATTCCAAGTCACATGGTAGTCAGCACAGTGCTTCTAGATAGCCTGGAAGTATTAACAATACTGGGCTTATATTCCTTCAATTGTGCAAAAGATACACATTATGTAATTTACCTCAATTATGGAGGCATCCAACACAAATTATTCAATTTAATGCATTTGTGATGCAAGTGATGTAATATTTGATCACACCACAACTCAAATAATGATCTGCCCCCTTTTTCCAAATGCCCAAGCTTCAAAATAGCAATAGCAATTAGACTTATACACAGCTCCATTGTGATTTTCAGCCCTCTCTAACCAGTTTACAGAGTCAACATATTGCCCCCCCACTCAACAATCTGAGACCTCATTTTATTGACCTCAGAAGGATGGAAGTCTAAATCAATCTTGAAGTGGTCAGGATTGAATTCTTGGCAGTGGGCAGAGTTTGCCTGCAATACTGCACGCTAACCGCTGTGCCACTAAGGCTCCTTGTTGTACACTTTTCAACCCAATTGGCCTCTAGAGGCAGCATTCCTAGGCATGTAGCTTTGGGTAAAAGAGATAAGACATTTTCATTGTCTTGTCATTATAGCAGTCATGATAATCTATCTAAGGTAAATATCTATTCCTCTTTAAAGCCACCCAAGTGTGTCACATAAGAGTGAAATCCATATTTAACTGTGGTTGGGGTGAAGAACCTATCTTGAATCTTAACCATTTATGTTGACTGAGGTTGAATCTTTATGTCACTTCCATCTTTTCTATTTTTTCTCACTTTATACACAGTTCGAATTTCAATATTTCTGGATCGGGACTCCCTACACACGGTCACTCAAGCACTCGTCACTTCCCGCCTGGACTGCTGCAATGCTCTCTACATGGGGCTCCCCTCGGGGTGCACCCGGAGGCTGCAGTTGGTCCAGAATGCGGCCGCGCAGGGGATTATGGGAGCGACGGGGCGCTCACATATTACACCTTTCCTGCGCGAGCTGCACTGGCTTCCTGTGGTCTTCCGGGTGCGCTTCAAGGTGTTGGTGACCACCTTTAAAGCGCTCCATGGCTTAGGGCCGGGGTATTTGCGAGACCACCTTCTGCCACCAATAGCCTCCCACCAACTGGTTCGCTCGCACAGAGAGGGCCTCCTCAGGGTGCCATCGCCCAGGCAGTGCCGGCTGGCGACCCCCAGGGGGAGAGCCTTCTCTGTGGCAGCACCTGCCCTCTGGAATGACCTGCCCCCTGAGATACACACGATATCAGACCTCCGGACTTTTTGTCGGGCCCTGAAGACACACTTGTTCCATCTACTGGGCTGGCTTGATCCCATCCTCTCAGTTTTTTTTTTTTTATCGAATTTCGGTTTTAATTGGGTTGTTTTAAATTCGGGCCAAAATTATTTAATTGTTTTTTTAAATGTTTTTAACTTTTATATGCTATGTTTTATCCTGGCTGTACACCGCCCTGAGTCCCGCAGGAGAAGGGCGGTATAGAAATATAATAAATAAATAAATATGTTAATTTAAAAGAATTCCAGATGTAGCCTGCTACAACAAAAGAATGGATTTCCTTAATTGCATCACATTTTCTACATCTCTTCCAACATTACAACGTTCTTTTTGAAGTGCAGCCACCAAAACCATAGATAGTATTCCAAGTGTAGACACACCATTGATTTTTATGAAGGTATTATGATACAATATTGGCAGTTTTGTTTTTTATTCCTTTCCTAATGACCCATGAGAAGGAACAAATCAGCCTTTTAACAGCAGACACTCACTGGATCCATGTTTCCTCATGCTATCTGACACAATTCCAAGATCTTTTTCTTTGTCAGATGGCCACACCACTAACTTTTTGATAAATGCATTCTATGAACACTATTTAAAGTCTACCCTTATGATCAATTGGATTCCTTTCAATTGATTTCTCATTTTGTCATAGGCATCACAACATTCTATTATGGAAATATTGTGTGCATATCTCTATTCTACTGCTGTACTTTATCAAAGTAAATTGCAGCGATTATCAGGTATCCATAGGGGAGGCAACAACAACAGTGTCATACAACAGACATTTTCCCCTTTTTACATGCATGTGAGGCACTTGGTACTGTTAACACCTCTTTCTAATGAATGCCCCTGCAGATTATTTTAAACGTTCTTCCAGTAAGTCACGGATGCATGTGCCTTACACAATTGCATGAAAAAGAATGGGAATATGCATAATCCCTTCTCCCTATTTTGGAAGCTGGAAAGTATGTATACTTTCTTCCTTTAGTCTGTCGTTTAAGTTTGTTCACTTCTAAAGCTTTTCCCCAAAAATTAGAAATTATTCTTTGGTGTTTAAGAAACTTTATAATGGACTTGGAATATCCTTATGTTGTTTTTGCAACTTTTTTGTTAACATGTAGGTTATCAAATCCCTCTTTCAAATATCTCCATTTCATTTTTGGAATTAGGAAGAAATCTTGCAAAGGGTATGGTTTAGTTTTAAGGTAACTGCTTCTCCATTTTAAAAAAATGAATGAACAAAGATCAAAATGCTAACATAGAAGCAGTTTCTCTATTGCAATTGTTCCCCTCTTTTCTGTGAGTTATTGCGTGGAAACTTGGAGGAGGGTTTGTGTGGAGATTCAGGTTAATGTCAGGGTTCCAAGTAACACCCCCAATGAAAGAAAACTCCGAGGCTTGAGTTTCCTCAAAGTTACACTTTATTAGAGATGTCATATTGGCACATCTGGGAGAACCCGAATCTGAAAGTTTCCAGGTCTTTTCCACCCAAAGGAAAGTTCAAGTCCCTGCCCAATACCCACATGTCCATCACATGGTCCAATCCAAGCACCATCCCAAGTGGAGATGCCTCCCAGTTCCAGCCGTCCAGGTGCAAGGCAAGATGTCCTTGACTCTCTGAGAAAGGAATGTTATTATGACTACATATCATTCTGACTCCAAACAATCCCCCCTCCCAGTTTCCCACACTAGTAAATGTGACAGGCCTGAAGGCCCAATGCAAAAGATGGCTTCCAGGCCTGACAACTTCCTGGAAATTTTCTAATTTAGTTGCACCTGGCACACATACCCATTCAATCCCTACAATCATTTGAAAACAAGTACATATACCACTTAATAACGGTAACAAAAATATAACTCAATGTTTATTTATTAAATATTAGCAAACGTCAAAAAACTACTGACAAAATGGAACAAAGCGTAGGAAAAAAATAGGAAAAAAGATACATTAACAATAGCCTCAATAAACATGTTCCTCTTCATTATTCCAGTTCGTCTGCAATACACACACACACACACACACACACACACACACACACACACACACACACGTCTTCATGTCTGTTTAAGATTTATAGAAGAAAAATGTCAATACAAATATCAATACCCACGCTAGTCTAGACAGAGCAGTTTAATTTTTTTTTAACTCAAGAGATCATTTTACTTCAGCAGAGAGAGTTGAGGTAATAGCATTCTCATTCTCCTAGTCTATTGTTAATTCAACTTTCACATGACCCTTGAACATGATATTAAGAAACAAAATAACTTTTACAGTTATAGAATTTAGAAGTGTGGTTCCATGCATAAAAATGCTTCTAGTGACTATTTGGGTACTTTTGTAAGCACAAAATGCTGTATTGTTGGCTGAGAACCTGAATAATTTGCAGCAGATGTTAGATAGATTGTATGTTGGACTGAAAAGAATAGATCTGAAAAATTACATATCAAAGGGAGAGGTGGTTGTGTTTAGCAGGAAAAATGGTGTGAACAATTGTGATCTGTGATTCAGTTTTATATGTGGATTAGTCTTAAAGCGTGTTTCCACTGTTATAATCTTAGATTTATGGGGGAAGTAGTTTCTTGATAAAATTTTTGGGAATTAGTTTACCATTGCCTATTTCCTAGGACAGGGGTGTCAAACTTGCATCATCATGGTGTGACGTATCACAACTTTTTTCCCCTTCACTAAACTGGGAATGGGCATGGCCAGCATATGACACATCCGGCCCGTGGGTCGCAAGT